ATAACAAAAAACTAACAAAAAAATCTATTCTAAATATAATTTCATTATAGTAAAACAAAGATAAAAAAAGCAAAAAACAGAAGTAGGTAGTTCTAATAGGAACTATCTATGAGAAAAAATATACTATTATAACCTATGCAAGGCCAAAAAATTATATAACAAATACAATATCTGTATATCTTTACTATAAAACTTTGCTTTAACATATTGTTTTCTTTCTGACTATATGACCAAATTTGGATAAGTCTTTAACTGAGAACTAGTTAATAGGCCTTGTCATATGGAGTAGCGATATATTTATTTCTAAACAAAACATATAGTTGCAATCTACCGGGTTAACCAAATTTGAAAAGAATAAACAATACTAATCTTTTGATAAAAGTAAGCTGTTTTGCTCACTTTTTTCAAAAATTTTGTTGTAGGCACAAGTGGGTGATAGTAAAGAGTATAAACCTTGTATTTTTCTTAAAAGAGTATATATTTCTTCAAAAATAGTAAGATAAATAGATCCAAGCATACTGCTAATATTTTTTTCGGTAAGTGATAAACTCTGAACTTGTTAACAAGTAGTGTATGAGAACTACTTCTAAATAACAAGTGCAATTTTCATGATGAGTAATAAGCTCTGAATCTATTAGCAGATAGTGTATAAGAACTATCTCTAAATAATAGGTGCCGGTTTATAGTTCTCATCAGTCTTATGTTTTTCTTCTCTAACATAGTTTTACAGTTTTTGTTAAAATTTTTTGTTGTAAAAAGTTGGTCCAAGAGATCATCAGAAAGAGTGTTTTGAAATCGATATTTTGACAAAAATTATTTTAAAAAATATACAATAAATATTCTAAAAAAAAATATACTTAAAATAATCAGTGGTGATCATCACCACCTCTAATTATTTTTAGGATATTATGAATTTTTTTTTATATATAATATAATATAAAGTTAATATAAGGTCCTGATTTCAGTTTTTATAAGGTTTTTGGGGTCCTGAACATTTTTACTTAGGTTACCCGATCCTGTTTACTTAGTACATTTTTGAGATATAAGCACCCTGGTGATAATCACCACTGTTATAGTTAGTAATATTCTTATAAAAAATAAAAATTACTTTCAAGCATAGTAATTTTTACTATTTTGTTTTAAATACAAAAAATCCAAATAGTTATTTGCTATAGCTTAATAAACTTTGTAAATACTGTATATTGTTATACAGTTCTAAATGATTTTATATTCAAAAAAAAACACACACAGTACTATTAATGTATTAAACAGATCTTGCAATATATATAGATAAAAACATCAGTTAGAATAATTTCTAATTGTAAAAAATATTCTAATTGTAAAAAAATTGTTTAAATAAATACCAATAGGCATACAGATTGAAATCTAATTATATACTGGTTGAATACTATCTGACAATATTTGCCTATTGCATGTCCGAGCCTTTTGGACCGTCTGCAGATACTCCGACTCTCATCTCAGTTCCTAAAAATGAGCACATGCAGTATATGCAAAAACTAATTCTAAACAACTTTAATAATTGAAAGCGATCATTATGGTAAAATCTTGCGTTATTCAGTGTCAGATTCTGTTTGAATGTTTTCCGAGTGAACACGTTGGTCTATAAGTACTGTCACATTAAATTTGGTTACCATTTCAATGATTATATTTTTTAAAATTTAAATTATTAATGAGGTAATAAATAGTATTCTTGTTAAATAACAACAATTTTGCATATTCGCAACATTATTTCTTAATATTGATATTAACAAAGTTAAATTATTAAATTTAATTTACAAAAATCTCGAAATTGCTTCATCAATGTCCATATCATCATTAGTTTTTTCATTTGGTGTTCCCCATCCGCCACCCCCTGGCGTACAAATCACAACACGATCTCCCACGCCAACTTTAAAACTATTTTTACTACCTAAATTAAGTACTCGATCTCCCCCTTTAACATTGCTTTTACGAATCCAAAGATTTAATCCCTTTGCACCATCTTTACCACCTTTTAATCCATATGGATGGAATACTCTTCTTTCCGTAAGCAAGCTTACTTGAAGCGGCTCACGGAATTCAAGATCACGGATTACTCCATTGCCACCTCTATGCAAACCCTTACCACCTGAACCTATATATACCATAATATTGTTAGGAGTATAGATCGATAGTTATGTAAATTCCATGAAATTTATAATGCATACCTCTACGAAGTGAGAATTCACGTAACATAACAGCGTGGTCTAGTCTTCGTTCGATTATTTCTGGATCTGTTATTCTTGTATTAGTCATATGCTAGAAAAATCATTGTGATTAAGACTAGTCAGATATGCCATAATAAACGAGTAAAAATAAATTAGACAGCACTAATTTTTACATACCACATGTACACCAGACTGTCCATCCCAAGTTTCACCAGCACCGCTACCTATGAATCAAAGTAGACACATGATTCATATACAGTTGTTCATTAAAGGCAGAATTAACTATAACATACCTCCGGCAATTGTTTCATAATAACCCCATCCATCAACCATTTTTCCATCAACTACTTTCCCATCTTTCCCAAATGTCAAATTATTACAATCTCCTTGGCTTGCGGCACATGCTTGGAATGCCTTGAGAATAACATCAACAAGGCGCTGTGAAGTTAGTACATTACCACCAACAACAGCTGCTTGGTCAGATGGGTTTAGCATTGAATTTGGGGGAATTTTAATATCTATTGGAGTGAGACAACCTTGATTTAATGGAATATCCTCATCCACAAGACAGCGGAGGCAATATATAATCGCGCTGAAAGTGACCTAAGATTGCAAAATAATTGTATAATTATACAATGAGTTTGAGCAAGAAAATGCGAAACATTACAACATACTGAAGGCGGTGCATTGGTATTGGCTGA